TAGTTACCTACAAAGAAGTTCCCATAAGACTGTCAGCTGCTTTCTCAAAAAGAAACTTTGCAAGCTAGAAGGAGCTGGCAAGAAGTATTTCAGAGAGATGAAAAGCAAGGACCTACAACCTAGATTACTCTATCCAGCAAAGCTATCATTTTGAATGGAAGGGCAGATAAAGTACTTCCCAGATAAGGTAAATTTAAAGGAGTTCATCATCACCAAGCCCTTATTATATGAAATGTTAAAGGGACTTATTTAGGAAAAGATGATCAAAAATTCGAAACAGTAAAATATGACAACAAACTCACAACTATCAACACCTGAATCTAAAAAAAGCAAACAAACTAAGCCTGTAAGCAGAACAGGAACAGAATCATAGATACGGAGATGGTTTGCAGGGTTATCATCTGGGAGGGGGAAAAGGTGTGGGGATTAAAAAGTCTAATTGGTAGGTACAAAACAGACAGGGGAATGTTAAAAATGGTGTAGGAAATGGAGAAGCCAAAGAACTTGTATGCATGATCCATGGACATGAACTAAGGGGAGGGGATTTCTGGAGGGAAAGGGGTGACAGGCAGAGGGGGCCAAAGGGGGAAAAATGGGGACAACTGTAATAACATAATCAATAAAATATACTTTAAAAAATGAATTGACCATATATGTATGGTCTATTTCTAGACTCTTTATTTTGTTCCACTGATCTTTTTATACATACTTATATCAGTACTGTCTTGAATACTATAGTTTTAATAAGCCTTTAAATAGGTAATCTAGATTCTTTTAACTTTGTTCTTTTTCGAGATTGTTTTGCTTGTTCTAGATTTGCATAAAGATCATAACCATCTTGTATACTTCAAAGAAGTTCACTGGAATTTTGATAGGAGCATTAAATTTATCAGTTTATGGAATATTGACATGATCTTTCCATCCAGGAATATATTATTTCTTTACATTTGTTTAGGTCTTCTCTGAGTTCTCTGAGTGGTGTTTTGTTGTTTTCAGTGTAGAAGTCTTACAGACTGCCCATTCAGTTCATTTCAAAATGTTTCTTTTTTTTCTTAACACTATTGTCACTGGTAAGTTCTTAAACTTTCATTTCCAATTGTTGCAAGATTTGCTGATTTCTTCCTTTTGAGTTATTTGCTTGTAGGTGACTAAGGTTTTCCAATTCCTAAAATGGGTTTCAGTTTAGTACTGAAAACAAATAGAAGTTAGTTAAAATAAATGATCTTTGCAACATCGATTTTAGTACATACCTATTATGTTAGTTAAGACTGTGGGTATTTGATTGATTAGTGAGTGTTTTTCTCAGAACTTTGTGTTGTTTGTATAATTTTGCCAGCATTTTTCTAACATAAGGAAGTCCATGCTATCTTTTTGTGGCTGTTACTAGAACACAGGATGCTTTAAGATTTTATTTTTCATTTGATCCATGAGTGAAAGAAGTAGGACTAGCTTTGGGCTCACAATGGTGGGAAGGTTTGGTTACTGGGGATCAAAGAAAAAGAAGGACAAGAATAAAATAAGCCTTGACAACAAGAGGAAAGTGACTTTGGTCTTGTTGAGTAGTGGTGAGTGCTTGAGCCTGCCCCCCATTGGAGAGCTCAGGTACAGAAATAGCAGAAAAGGAATTAACTTTTACTTTGGGATTGGAAAATCTTGAAACCTAGTTTTAGCAGTTTCGTTTCTCATGTTCAATAAAGAATCACTACAGACTTTAAAGTCAAGAATGTGTATAGCAATGACACCATTTTATTAATGGACCTTGTAAATGAAACATCTGAAAAAACTTGTTATGTCTTTTGTATTCCAGTTTTAAAACATAGACATCTTTAAATTTTATATAATTATTTTGTGGCTGCTGAAATAAATGATTGTAAACTCAGTGGCTTAAAGCAACAGAGATTTATTATTTCACGATTCTTTCTGGAGGCTGGACGTTCAAAGTCAGTGTAACTGGGCTGCAATCAAGGCGTTGGCTGGGCTGCACGTCCTCTAGGAGCTCCAGAGGGGCGTCCGTTTCTTGTCTCTTCTGCCACTGGTGGCTGCCAGCGGTCCTTGGCTTGTGGCCTGATGACTCCAGTCTTTAAGTTCAGTGTTTCAAATCTCTGTGCAGTCTTCACACTACCATCTCCATGTGCCAAATTCCCCGTTGCCTCTCTTACAAGAACACTTTGTGTTTATCCCACCTAGGTCGTTTTTCTAATTCAATATATTTAACTTAGTCATGTCTACAAAAACCTTTTTTTCCAAATAAGGTAACATTTATAGGTACCAGGAATTAGGACCTGATATTTTGGTGGGCTGTTATCAGCCTACCACAGAATGTGTTTTCTGGGGTTTTTGTTTTGTTTTTCAGACCTTCATTTTGTTCTGGAACTTGCTGTTAGCACCCCAGATAACATACTTATTTTCTTGTGGTAACCACCACTTTTTAATTGAACCCTGTATCATGGAATAAAATGCATTGCATTCTAAAAGCACAACAGAACTGACCTAAAAACCTCAGATGCTCAGCTACTTAATTAAAATACTAGTCAGAAAAACACCACATTGGTGAACGAGATTGATTGAATTGTGCTTCGACTCCATGGCGCTGCTTCAGTTTGGGGCAGTCTTGGCTTCGTAGAGCTTGCTCGGTCCGGTTGGTGCACGATGAGGCCCGTGTGTCCTATTCGCTGCTCCAAGGAGACCTTCTGTCGTGGCCTAGAAGACATTACCTATCAGCACTCTTAGCCTCTGCTTCTACTGTGGAGCTACTAGTTCCAAATGATTTCTCCGGGGTCTCACTCAATGCTTGTGACATAGCAACACTTTTCACATATAAGTGTATGTGAAAATGTATACTCTTCATTTATGTTATGTATTCCTAATGTATACTATTGGCATATTTGAGCATGTTGCGTGTAACAACATTGATTCATAGCTGGCATGCTACACAGATCTTCACATGGTGTTGGAGGAATGGGTCATGTAGAGAAATTTCAAGTAGCCAACTTTATTTTGGCTTTGGGATATTATTTTGATGTTGTAGCTTTAGGGATTGCCTGAACCTCAGTATGGGAATACTTTTTGTGAGCATCATTTGGTAAATTATAGCCAAAAAAGATTTTTTAAAAAGTGGTAGTTTTCAGCCCTGGCTGGCGTAGCTCAGTGGATTGAGTGCGGGCTGCGAACCAAAGTGTTGCAGGTTCAATTCCCAGCCAGGGTACATGCCTGGGTTGCAGGCCATAACCCCCAGCAACCGCACATTGATGTTTCTCTCTATCTATCTATCTCCCTCCCTTTCCTCTCTAAAAATAAATAAATAAAATCTTTTTTAAAAAAGTGGTAGTTTTCTTTTCTTTGGCCATTACATTAACTAGCTTAAATATTTAAATGTTGATAATGAGTGATTTGTCATAGGAAGAGAATTTTCCAAAGGGAAATGGAAGCTTCGTTCCCTTTATCCTGTAGTCTTTCTCCCACCGTGCATGGTGTTTGTTAGTTCTTCTGTGCAACCGAAGATCACAGCTGCTTTTGCTCTGCTGGTTGAGGACCTTGGCAGTGTGAAGAAGTTCGGCATGAAGACAAATTACTGTGAAAGCCAGCAGTCAACATTAGATTAAAAACTTACATACTTTCTGAATTCTGCATTGAGAATTAAAGTCCTTTGACTTCATGTTACTTCACAACTTACTGTAGGGTTTTGGCTTTTGCAACTTAGATAATAAATTGCATGGTACTTATAAATTTTTCATGTTCTTTTAATGTCTGTAAAGCAATCATTGAAAGAATTTAAATGATTATATCATTAATTGATGAGTATGTGAAGTAACCACATTAGTGTCATGAAATGTGGATACGTCCACTTGGCTGTTTGTTTTATTATAAAAAGTGTAAGAACTAAAGGGGATAAAACTGCTGTTAATTCAAAGGAAATTCCAAAGATAACTTTTAAAATTAAAATCTGTTCTGTGTAATATATTAGATAAACCATTTGGAGTAACTGCTGGTTGAAAATTCTGGATAAATACTATCAAGGGGTTCTTTATTTACTTGAGAGCAAAAAATTACATATCTCAATATCTGCCAGTTATTCCCAGATTATTTAAGTGAAATGTCTCTGAATTTAGGTAATTTTTCCTTTCTTGTTTGTTGAGAAACTGCTGAAAAGCAAATGCCATATTTATTCTTCCAGAAGAACTGAGAGTAAAAAGGGGAGGGAGAAAAAAAGGAAAAGAAGGATAATATAAGTGAGGTATTCAGTGAGCCACATTCACATTATCATTTGAGAATTGAATTGACATAAGACTTTCTGTTCAAACGGTGACAAAAATTACTGCATGTTGAAAACATTCTTAAAATTTTCTTAGACTTAGTAAACACATGTAAGGAAGATTTACTAATGAATTAATTCATATCCATGTCTGTGTTTTTTAAAGTTCTTATGAATCTGTCCTAGAGTAACCATTTTTCAATAAACATGGGTATGTGGGGACTTATAACTTTAAAATCTTCAGGGCTGAGCTGGAAGATGAAAAGTGTTCTATTTTAAGTATGACTCTGCAATCCAATTCCATAAGAAAAGGCTAGCACTCGGTCTGTGGCGGGGTTGGTGGCCATGCACACTGGATGCGAGGATGCCTCGTTCTCTCCATGGTCTGTGTTCCTTGTTTGTCAGGTCCTGCTCGTCCAAAGGTGCCCATTTCTGTTTGTGTTAGTCACCCTCTGTAGGTAAATTGTCCGTGAGACCAGTGATTCCGTCCATCAGCAAATTATCCAGAAAACGCTGTCTTTGCACGTTGTGACAGATCCCGTCAGTGGTGGAGTCGCAGCTACTCTAGTGGTCTAATTACCCTGGCAAGTTGTCTCCTGTGCCCAACGCTGTTGCCTTGTTGCCTTGGCATCTCAGCTTTGTCTTCTCATTACCTTCTCTCTGGACTAAAGCTTGGATTTACAATTTTTTTAAACCTACGCCTATTTAACCCTGTGTGTTCACCATCCTCCTTATTTTTGATTGGCAGTATCATCCGGATAAACAAAGTGCAGACGTGCCAGCAGGAACAATGGAGGAATGTGTACAGAAGTTCATTGAAATTGATCAGGCGTGGAAAATTCTAGGGAATGAAGAGACAAAAAAAGAGTATGACCTGCGGCGGCACGGTAGGTACTTGGGGTGAGGAGCCACGGCACATGGGCACCTTTCTGGAGCCAGGTCCGCAGCCGTCCTGGGGAGCATTTCCCAGCATTTGCACCACATCGTTACTGCCTCCTTCACTCCCCCCACCACCGTTTTTAATTATGCCCTATTCTTAGTGGTGATTATTGTGTATCCACTGAGAAGTTAACAAAACTCCTAAGATATGGCTTCTTGTGAAGCTGCGAAAGCTACTTTTATAACTAATGAAAAATGTTTAATTAAACATCCCTAATTACTGTGTTTTATATGTTTAAAAACTTATTTTTATTAAATTTCATTATGTGCGGATTAAACTTTTAATTAGAGTACTTCTGAGGCTATAAATGACAGTCTGAAGGAAGATACTTTATGAGGTAACAGAAAGCACTCTGCGGTCTCCGAGCTTGTTTTAAGCTGGGTTTTATGATTATCTCTTGGATAAAGTAGTTCTTATAACACTGCTATAAATGGTATTTTAGGAATAAACATTTCCCAAGCAGTTTTGTAAGTCATTTCGTTTATGCATTTTAGAAAATAGCTTCTTAAAACAGTGACAAGCTCTTGTGAGAAACAAAGGGAGAAATGTAGGTCAGGTTTGTCACACATGGGCTGCGGCTACACAAAGTGATAGGTTGTCTTTCAGCACTGGCCTTGGGAGAGGGGTCCCTCGGCCTCCTGCTTGAACCTTCAGTGTGCACCGTACATGTTAATGGGGGGAGTCAGTACTCAGTTACAGCCTGTGGGGAAAACACTCAGCTGCGCTCTGCAGTAGTGCACCAGGCTCGGCATCGACTCGTGTGTGGATAAAAGCTCCCCATCTCCGCAGTTATTAACGAGTCCCCCTCCGTGCCCTGTACTGGCACACCATCAAACCTAACAAAATGATTTTAAAACTCGTACGACTGTGATTATGAAAATTTCATCTGGAAGTTGAGGCTGCATGTCTAAAACACATCGTTATAGGATAAAGCCAGTGATATATATAGAATATCCACATTTATTTTCAGAGGGAATTGTACCAGTAAAATCAGGTATTTCTTACAGTGCTTGATAGTTCTGTGTGTAAAGGCTCCGTAAGCTATTTGTTCATGTACTGGCCTGTTTGTTTGCAACAGTGACTTTCATAACACTGATCAGCTCTAAGTTCCTTCTACTTTTTAAAAGACTGATAAACTTATTTTTTTACATGTTAAGAAATTCATGAGTGTATCTTTGCAATGAATTGGGATTAATTTTCAAGTAAGACTTGGATATTTTGTCCTGCCTCTATTTGCTACAATATGAGGAGCTTTTAAAAGTTGTATTTCTTTGGTAAATGCATTTATACTTCAGGGACAGTGTGGGAACTTGGGTCCGGGAATAGAAAATACTGAGTGGCCAGGAACCTGAGAATCTCAACACCAATAACACTTCTGGCAAAAGAGTATAAAGGTGGTTCCATCTGAGGACAAATTCTATCCATGCATATATCTTTTTAACCTTGGTTCACAAGACACAGTTTCTATAAAAGTATTGAAACTAATACACATGAGTGTGTTGTGTGTGGGAAGTTACCTGTGTTTCTAAAGCTACCAGCTACACTGGATGTGACTGTTGTCTCTTGGTGCTTTTGCTCGTCTTTATCAGTCTTGACTCTGTAAGGCGCTGATTTGCTTAAGATAAGGATATTCCCCACCCTAAGGAGGGTAGAGCCCCGTGCTGGCACTGTCCTCGGCATTTTTGCCGCCCCAGTGCCTATGTTCTATTAAGAAGCTATCAGTGAAACTGAGACTAGATGCCTGCTGTCTTAGGAGAAAAGAGGTAGGGAGAGATCAAAAATCAAAAAGTATTCTGTCTTGCTATAGTATAGGGCAGGGTAGACCAGCAATGGAGAAAAATAAGAAACAGAGTTTAAAGTGGGTAATGGAATTTCATGAAGGAACATTTAAAGAGATTTTGGAAAAACAATGAACATCTTCAAGCCTGCCTTTGAGAAGTCCTTGGAATGTGGATTTCTTTTGAGCTTTGAGTCCTTGTTTTTAAATTTTTAATGGGAGCAACTGTGGCTTGCTGTTTCATAAGGGACTAGGTCACAGATAAAGTCACTATAAAATTTACACAGACCAAATACAGTGAGAGTTGGGCATGATTCATGATTCAGATAAATAGGCAGATCTTCCGTTTGGGATTTATATAATGTCAGATTGCTATGCGAGTTTTCAGGCAGGTTCAATTGAGCTATTCTAGAAGAAAAGTAGAAACACTTCAGATCTAAGTACTAAATATTTCCTTTGTTACCTGAGGCTCCAAATAGTGAAAATGCTTTCTTTGAGTTTTAAGTTGAGATTGGCTTGCTGTTTAGATAAAAAATGGTAGTCGCTTACTAGAATATAACTTGCTGTTTTTAAGTTTCATACTAGAGCTATTTTAAAAGTCTCATAATAAACCTAGTTTCATATTGTCATTTGTTTTGACATTAATTTTTCCTTCTTGACCCATTTTCAGTAAGTGGCCCCTCAAAAGAAGGAAATGAACTTGAACTTCTAACAGTGAGGATTTCAATTCGATAGAAGGAAAACCTTTGAGAGTGATAATTTGTTAAAGACCAAGATAGGTTACCACCAGAGAGAGAATTTGTTATGACCAGGTCAAAGCACTCTTTTTTTCTGGGTCACCCCCTGGGGACATGGAAGTAGCTTTGTTATACAGAATTCTTTTTGCATGTAGTGATAGTTCATTGTAGAACTTTCTTTTCTTAGGGCATGCTTTAAATATGTTTGTTTCCTGCCCTCCATTAACTGGGAGTATAAAATAAATTTGAGGCGGGAGATGTTTTGTTGGCCGATGTTGAATGCATTCTTGTATCAGTATTTCACAGCTCATGGTGCCCTGTTGTAAGGAAAGCCTCATCTATATTGCCCACAATCATTTATTTCTCTAAAGATCATTTAAAGGAGCCCTTGACATCCATATTTCTTTGCCTCACAAAAGAAATGATCAAATGAATTCTAATAAAGAAAAAGTCCAGGATAGATAACCTCAAGGAAAGTACATATATATTTTTTTTCTTCGTTTCCACTTCTATATTTCTAGTTGACATTTTAGGGCAATGTTAGCCAGGCTGAAGAATAGCAAATCTAAAAACTGATGATATTCAGTTCCTAGATATACATTCTGAAAGCAGTGTTAACCAGTGGATTTAATCCATTTGTTCCAGTTGGCATATTTACCTTATTGTTTGTAAGGATGCTTCCAAAGGCTGCTTGCCCTGTTCCCTTGAAAGGCATGTGGTTATTCAAGATTAGGCTTTGCGTTTTAGACAACCCGGTGAACACTTACGGAAAATCTTTTCAAGATTTATAAAATGTTCTCATGAATAATATCTGTTGAATAGATTTTGGTGCTTTATAAATCTTACAGAGAGTTTTCTCATATGTTAAGCATGTACAAACACATCAGAAGTATATCATGGGAAAATAATAGGGATCACAATTGAATAACTTTGTAATGTGACAGTCACACACATCTCGAATGTCTCAGTGGCTCTGTAGAGTGACACAGCTTATGTATGAGCTAGGTTACTTCTTCATGGCTTGAGGAGGAACAAACCTTCACATGAAGTCAGTCAAATTGAATAATGTTTTGAAAAACTAAGGGGTTGTGTTTGGGAATCCCTGGTGGTATGTTATTTTGCATTAAGATGTATCTTGGTTTTCTATTAGTAAATTATTTTGGTAACATGAAGCCTTCACTCTAAACAATTGGCCAAGGACTTAGATACCAAAAACAGCCTGGCTCGGGAGGAGTTTGGGCTAGACATTGTAAAGTTAGTGTGACTTTACTCAGAGCTAGTCAGCTAGATAGAAAAAGGTCATTTCTGATGTTGTATTATACAGTTCATCTCATCTGTTTAATAGGATAAATATTTGAGAACGGGAGGTAAGCAAATTCCCCTGGACCAAATGAGGAACACATCTTAAAACACCAGCATTTATGTCAGATAGCTCAATCAATGTGTAATTTTTTAAGCTCAAAATAAGAATCCTTTCTGAAAAGCAAGTTAAAGCTAAAGACTGATTAACTCCATAAGAAGGGAAATAATACTTGTAAATGTAGATAATATGAATTTAACTATTAGGAAGGATATTTGTGTAAATTGTGTGCTAAAATTGACCCTTACAAAATATTTGTTGTGGTTGGATTAGGGTTTCCTTTTACGGTCATATCAGTGTTTCCATTTGATTTTAGGAATTTGAAAATTGACTGTAAAAATGTGCTTGAGGTAAAACTTGAAGCTAAGCCTCAGGGGCTGGTTGTGGGTGGCGGGGAGAGAGAGAGAGAGAGAGAGAGAGAGAGAGAGTGAGTGAGTGTGTGTGTGTGTGTGTGTGTGTGTGTGTGACTGTTTCTGGGAAAAGTAAATACGTGAAATGATGCAGAAAATCCATCTGGACAGTTGAGGACTAGCATTTTCTTCAGAGGGAGGAGAGAGGGCAGATAAAACTTTCTGCGGGTTCTGCTCCGTTTTGTTTGTCACAAGGAGGTGGCTACTCACATTATTTGTTACTTCTACTTAAATGCAAATAACTGTTTTTGCCATGAAAACATACTTTAAGATCAGTTCTCAGTGATTTGGGCTAAAATTTGGCTAGTTTCAAATAATGCTCTAGAAACCGATGGCTAAGATCATGATCACAATTCTGGTATATGGGGGCATAACAGGAGGTTCTGATGTGATAATAGAGAAAACACAAGACTTTAGAAAGTCTGTGTCTCTAGCTGTAGCCTCTCTCCTGGTGTCTGTCTGGGAACTTGACCCGATGGAAGTCCGTGGGTCCAAACCAAGACTGTGCCACCTTTCTCATCGTTTGATTTCTCCCAGACATGAAACGGGTTCACATTACACTCCGACTGCTTCTCCTTTGCTCACAACACAGCCAGTGAGTTAGAAACAAGTGCTGATGTTCCTTTTGTGTTTTTCTGTGTGATCTTACTCTCACAGCTACCA